TCGCCTGGCCGTGCCGTTAATAACGGGGGTCCCGGCGCTCGGGGCGACGAGTAGCGTCAGCTTTCATGTGAGAGGGGGCCTGTGGTACCGAGTGGCCGTAACGGGGATCCTTTAGTCCTCGCAGTCGGGCACGGAGAGGAGAACACGGGATATCCTTTAGTCCTCGCAGTCGGGCACGGAGAGGAGAGAACACGGGATGCCGGGGCGGGGGGGGGAGCGCCCGTCGGGCGTATTTTCTGGACCCTTGCCCTTCCTCGTCGGGAGAGGTTAGGACGGAAATACGCCACGGGGGTTCTTTAAAGCAGTCGGCCAACTCTGGGAGGGTACGAGGGTTTACAGGAGAGGCTGACTCCTCTACTAAGGCCCCAACTTGTATTTTAGGTGCCTGCTTAGCAGTAATAAAAAATGATCCGATGAGATCGCTTTTCTGTTCTCTACGTTTCAGCGTTCGTTGCTCCCCAGTCGCACCGTTCAGCAAAGGGACAGCTGTGGGTTCAGCCCCCGCTGGCTCTGTAGTTGAAAGGTAACCGCTTCAAAGCTGGCAGCCTTTTCCAGCGCAGCAGCTGGCGTTTCCTCTGCTGCTTCGTAAGGCTGGAGAGTTCTCCGGGCCAGGTCATCTGATGCCCGCTAAAATAAGGCTCTGGGTTTGCAGGCCTGTGGAGGGTTTGAGCTGGGAGTTGAGAGGACAGCGAACGGGCTTTCGCAGGTGTTTATCACTTAGGGCTATTCGCATGCGTTCGGTCTGTAAAAGAATGTGTCTGGAATGACTGCACAGCACTGGAAAAGCCAGTGTTGCGCTCTGCGGCTCGGAAGCCTGTCTTCGGTCTGTAAATGTTGGGTGGAAGAACCGTGCAAACCCAGAGATGCCACAGCGCTCTGTGAAGTTTGTGGTCTGTATCCTTGCTGTTTGTTTCCTTACTTCCAAAAATAACTTTTTTTTGTTTCCTTACTTCCAAAAATAACTTTTTTTTTCCGCTTCATCCCTACTCGCATTTCCCGATGAGACCGAGTACAACGGTGGTTTAGTTTGGACAGCGAAAGTGGGCATGCAATGAAATAGTTTTTTATACATTTTGCTTCTTTTTATTCACACTGGGGGGAAAGCTTTGTGGCATACTGCAGTATGTACACGTGAAGGCTGTTGCTGGTCCCATGGACTTTCTGCAACTAAAACTTGTTTCTTTTTGGGTGGCAAAAGAGCCCGAAACTGGAAATAAGAAACAAATGTTTTAATTATAGCACTTGTTTTGCAAGAGGGTGCAGAATTGTGGACTCTAATCCAGAAGTGCTAACCTGATCTGAGATGATACTAGGTAGTTTTTCCGCAAGCAGCGAAAACTCCCGTCAGGGCAGTAAGACCCTCTGGCTGTTGAGAGGTTGTCAGGCAGACGCTGATGCTGTCAGGCCTGGAAGGGGCACCAGCGCGGCGACACCAGGATGCTCCATCTGCCTGTGCTGCCCGTTGCCTTGCTAATAAGGGAAGGCGTCCTCGCTGCCCGCATCCTCCTGCCTGGGGGAGCACGTTCGACAGGCAGGTTCTTGCCGGAGCAGCAGCATTGGTTTATTCTCCGCTCCAGCTGCGCTGATCCCCAGGCAGCCTCAATTACACAGTTTTTACACCTCGTTACTCATCTTCCATTTTCTTGTCTTTACTACCCCTTCAGCACTCTTGTCCCTCTTTTTTTGACCCGAGACTCAGCACGTCTCATGTCATGTTTAGGCGTTTCTCTCGCCCTGTTCAGTCAGCTAAAGCTCAGGCCGGAGCCTCGGCACCCGCCTGCAGTCCCGATGGTGGCGTTAGTGTGAGTGATGACACCTCGCTGGTACCTTGCTATTCAGCTAGTGAAACTCGATTGGTTTGCTATGATACAGCCCAAAAAGAAATGTGTTTGGGTGGGGTTTTTTTTGTTTTTTTTGTTTTAAATATTAGGAGTGGCAAGTTTCAACGATATTTTTTTAAGAATGGAAATAAACCCTTTTTTACATATAGGTTATATGGAAGCTGACAGTGAGGCAAGTCTGCTTCTGTTTTGTGATGTTAAGATACTCCTTTACAGGTTAAAAAAATCCAGCTGTCTTAAGGAGAGCTGGACCTGGTCAGGGTTGTGGGGTAACAGGGCCTTGATGATGCTCAGTTGCTTGAGCAGACTGAGAGAGCTGGAATGGAAATAAACCCTTTTTTACATATAGGTTATATGGAAGCTGACAGTGAGGCAAGTCTGCTTCTGTTTTGTGATGTTAAGATACTCCTTTACAGGTTAAAAAAATCCAGCTGTCTTAAGGAGAGCTGGACCTGGTCAGGGTTGTGGGGTAACAGGGCCTTGATGATGCTCGGTTGCTTGAGCAGACTGAGAGAGCCGGGAAGCAGAGCGTGGCCGGATGGAGGGGTAGCAAAGCAACTGCTGCTCCCCAAAGCCAGAGCAGCATGAAGGTTTAAGTAGGGAAAATCCCGGTAGAGAGCTCGTGGTGGAGACTGGCAAGAATTTTTATCCTCTCTCACTGCGAGCTGATGCTCGGTTGCTTGAGCAGACTGAGAGAGCCGGGAAGCAGAGCGTGGCCGGATGGAGGGGTAGCAAAGCAACTGCTGCTCCCCAAAGCCAGAGCAGCATGAAGGTTTAAGTAGGGAAAATCCCGGTAGAGAGCTCGTGGTGGAGACTGGCAAGAATTTTTATCCTCTCTCACTGCGAGCTCGGTGCGTGGAGGAGCAGTAAGGTCGTTAACGAGTAAATTGAAGTTGTGGCTTTGAGAGAAGTGGGTCTTCATCACAGCGATTTCATAAATGTTTTCAGCTACGTGCGCAGCGCTGCAGAGAGACTCTTCTTCCCTTATTCGGAGTATTTCTGCAGTTTTCTTTGAAAAGAAACAGAGGGCTTTTTGTAAAAAGGTACGATATTTGGCAGAAGTCTTGAATGATGGGAAATTAATCCAAGTTCTGTGGTCAGATATCCTTGTTACACCTAACCTCTCTTGTGACAAAGATGAACTTCCTCTGAAGTTTCTGCTTTGCTCTTTCTGTTTAAGTAAACAAATCCCATGTTGCAGAAAACCGTACGTGTCTTGCAAGCCTCGTTCTGTGCGAATTCTGGGTCAAGATGCTTGAGTCTGGTGACGAGGAGAGGTTTAGCTGGGGCTGAATGAACGCAGAGGATGGCGCGTCCTGTGTCTGGTTATTTGAAGTTAGGCGCGAAGTATAAGCCTGCGAGGCAGATTTTATTTTTTTAATGATGCTCTGCCGTGCCGCGCTGTACCTGTCCTGAGCGCTTTGCCAGGGCGAGCTCACGTGGATAACCTCAAATGCTGATTCACTGGGGCTCTTAATGTGAACCGGAGTGAAGGTACGATGTGCCCTGCAAAGTGATTCTCGTGCTGATATAATAGTAGATAAGGAATGTAAAATAATAAGCATTTAAGAAGTTAGGTGAAACAAATAGCAAG